ATCAGCCAGTGAAATAGGTTGTGACAAAAATGGCAAGATATCCTTCATTGGAGTCTGAATGTTTAATGGATCCTGCCGTGAGCAGAGCATGATCTCTTAAGGTTTCCATCCACAGACCCATAATATTGTGAATCTGTCCAACCACACATTCAGCCAATGTAAAGAGTCAATTCTTCCATAAGGCTTTATCCTTTTAATCCAGTAAATTCTTCCCCCACAAAAAATATACAACTCTGTGAGGATTTTGGAACATATTTTTTTACCCCTTAAGAGTTAAGGAATACTTTCAAGAAAAGACACAAGGCAAATATACAGTCATTGTCAATCCTGGGATAACATATAACTATAGATTTCAAAAGCATAAAAAAACTAAATGTTGTATGGACACTTTCAGACAGAGGTTAACAATAAATTGCATTTCTATACTGAACACTTTCACCAAGTTCAAACTACAGTCATCAATAAATACTCCCCTTATGCAACAATCTCAGCAGGGCACAAGCAGATGATACACAAGAATTATGACATTATAATTGAAGATGCTGTCATTAGGAATAAGGTACATTATGCTTAGAAGACCACTTTCTAACACCATATTTGACCAAAGTTAATCCTCAGATTTAAATGCAACATACAAAGTACTATATAATTTGATAAAAGAATTTCCTAAGAATTTCCTTCATATAAAATTGTATCTAAGGGAAACATTCTACAGCAACAATCTAAAATTTTCTATCTACATTCCAAAATACACAAACCAGGAAACCAAGGCCATCCCCATTGTTTCAAGGATGAAAATAATCACAGCAGGAATATCACATTTCAAGGACACTACCCCACTCCCAGCTACGTAAGAGACACCAGTTTACTTCCCAAGAAAATGGAAATCCATTGGCCACCCCACCCCCCAACAAATATCCTTGTAGCTATCATGGATGTTGAAGCATTACATAGCAACATCTTCCTCAAACACACTCCACAAACAGATTATTTGGAGTTGAGTTGCACCTAATTAATCAACTTCAGAATTGTTCTAAAGTCGGGCAGCACCAAATTAATTAAAACAAATGAATAAACATATAAACAAACATGGCATATCTTATCACCAATCTATGTGATTTTGTAGTCACCCATAACTATTTTATCTTTGGCAATAACCTATGCCTGCAAATTAGTGACACAGCAATATATAGATGGCTCTCCTAAAGCAATACTATCACAACTATTACCCCTGAAATTTCTGCTTTACCTGAAATCATAATGAACCTATCTACATCTCCCTCCCCACAAACATTTCTCCCATCTCACCCCAATTTAAATCCGGCATCATTCAGCTACTCTACACATCTATTGAAATGAAAGCCTATGCATTTAATAACATTTGTTAGTTGGGGAGATTGTCCCAGATTCCTAGTTTATTAATAAAACAGCTAATCCTAATCTGGTATATGTATATTTCTATTTGTCTTTGTTAGATTTTATTATGTTACTTTTAATTTCCTTTCTTTAACTTAAAATGTTTGTTTTGAATTTTATTTCCTTCTTCCAGAGTATTAATTATTTCATTCCAATTTTGTATTATTTGCATCTCTGAAACTCATTCTTCCACCTCTTCAGCCAAGCTATTTATAAAAATATTAAAGTTGAGGACTGAGAGAGCTGAGGACTTAATTTTGTGGCACTCTTCTTAATGTGTCAGATCAATTTAATTGAAAAACTTAATGAACGTTATTTTAGTACAATTTCCAAGAAATCATAAAGCCACATAACTGCCATGCTATCTTGGTTTTTCTTAGCTTGCTAATCAGAGTAGCATAGGCTATTTTGCCAAAATGCTTTGCTGAAACCAAGAAAATAATCTAAAGTATTCCCATAGTCTACTAAGGATGTACTATATTAACATTTATCTGGCAGGCTGATCTTGATAAATCCAGGCTGACCTCTGCTAATTAATTTGATAATTATACTCTGTTTATGATCTCTTCTAGAATCATCCCAGATACACACACACACACACACCAGATTGACTGGTCTATACTTGCTTGGACCCATTTTTTTTCCTTGTAAAACACAGGGATAACATTTCTTAAACATAATATCTGGGTATTTGTCAAAAAATTCCTTCAATCTCCTAAAATGTAATTCATGTGATGCTGGAAATTTAAACTCAATGTATGTAAATCTTTCATCCACCCCATTCATATGGTCTTCACAATTTTCTGATAGAGAACATAACCTTGTATTGTAGAAAGCTATATCAAAATTGAAATCAAGTAGCTTTGCTTTTCCTCTGATGTCTGTAAACATTAAGAACCAGATTGTTTTCTCTTTCAAGGGAGATATATGAAGGAGCTTCTTGCTAAATCTCAATTGTCCTGACACTATCTCAAGTTCTGGGCTGCCATACAAACTGATTTCTCAATGCCTGATTTCTCTTTTCTTCTCCTGCTTTCTTAAAAATTCAGATCTTCCTTAAACTTTTTGTTTAATATTATTATTTGGTAAGGGGCACTGGAATATTTCTGACATTCAAGAATCATATTTTTTAAAAATGTGGGTTTCATGTAGAGAAAAAAGTTCATTTCATATTAATTGTCTTTAGCTGATTTTTTTAAATATAGTCACTGCAGTTTCATTGTTAAATATATGTTTTATTCCGTAAGCATCTATAGTTTTTTTAAGCCAAAGGAAAAAAACCTGATATTGCTTGCTGCTTAATGTTTGCCAATCCCTATTAAGTGTATTGATCCTCTTTCATAGCATATTTAGACTTTAAACCTACTCTTCTTTCAAATTTATTCTTTAGATCTAGTTTTGCATTGTGATAGATTCGTGATATGCTAGAGTTGTATATTAAATTCTTCTTCCCATGCACATGCCTCCTGCAGAGACAGCAGGCTATAGAAGCTGACCCTTACTGAGACCATCTTGTCTATTTGACAAAGCTCCTTTTTAACTTCTTACTTATTGCTTATTTTCTGCAATGGGGAAATTTTTTTAGCTCTGCTTGTGATAATTTCACAGGCCCTGAGTACCCTGACCTTAGAAGCCCCAAGGTCAGAAGTCAAATTGTGTTCTGAAACATCTGTAAGAATTATATTAAAGAAGAACAAAAGTGAAGAGCTATCCACCAGCATGACAAGAGAAACAAGCAAAATGGGAATGACATGCTGGTCATCTGTTAGCCATGCCATCTCAAGCCAAGAGCTGAAAATGGATAGAGGGATGGAAATGGAAGAAGCCATACAAATTCAAAACATTTCTTATACTTGAGTCCATAGATAATCACATTCAGTATTTTATATGTCTTCCTTACAGATTTTTATATTATTTTTAAAAGATTAAACTAAAATCAAAGATTACAACAAAAAATTGAAAATCATATGGATCAAATCTAAAATGCTATTCAAAATTTAAATAAAAGAGACTGTATTTCGGTTGCTTACTGATTAGGCATAGTTTCCTGGTTATTAGAAATGTAAACATAAAAACAGCTAGTCATGTCAGCCAAATCTTTATGTCACTAATCCAATGATTAATATTTTTCTATCCACAATTCATAATATGAACAGCATGTAACATTTTGAAAAGGATAATTTTGTCAAACACTGGAAGCCAAAGCAAACTTAGTCCTGCAGTTTTTATTGTTGGCTTTCAAAGTATTTATATACACTTTTATAAGTTTTAGTATATTAAATGATTAGACCATTGCACAAAAAAACTACAGTTATCAGATGATGTAGGTATTAGATAACTAAAATTATAAAATGAAACTTTTACTATGTCTTGCCCAGTAGTTCCAGACATATAAATTCCAGCAAACAAGTATAGCAAAATCTTCTGTTCTATCATTTCATCTCATTTACTATGTAATCAAAGAATAATTGAAAACAAATGTTTAAACATAAATGTTTTAATTGAGTTATCTCTACATATATAAAAAAAGAACTGCATCTTGAACCAACATTGAAATAAAAATGAATTTTAAAGCTGTATTTTAATTTCTATCTATATAACTGATGTATTAGTAACTAATATAGAGAACTATTAGTTCTCTATATTAAAAGTGGAGATTAATTTTAAATTAAATTAAATAGCACATATTAAACTTATTAAGGCTGTTTAAATTAAACATCTTGATTATTTTAGAAAGCTTTGCTACTGTTAATGCAATATTTCTCTTATAAGGTTTTATATTAAAAATGAGTGTATATACCATATATTTGTATAAGAATTTATTGCATAGAATCATAGAAAATTTAAATTACACAGCTAGCGCGATCAATGATGCATTACAAAAGTGAAACAGAAAAGAGAACATATATTTATACATTTTACATATACGTTTTTAGTCTACTGAGTAGAGTGGATGTTCTGGGTCTAGTCAGTGAAACAGTTCCATCTTCCTGGACCTAGGAGAAGTGGCTCCTATTGTGGACCAAGTCTGTCAAATACCCTCCTCCTGGAGATCCAGCTGGCCTAATCTTATTGGGTTTCCAGAAGTCTGTCAAAACCTTATTTTTCTCACAAGCATAACGGCCAGGTTCTTAGGAGACCCCAATAATGGTAAATATGTTAACTGAGAATTATGCCTTTGGTATTTTGCATTCCACACATGCTTATTATATTTTATCTGCATTTATGCTCTTTTTATTGTTTTCATTTGTTTTTATTTTTTATATTTGTATTTATGTTATTTTGTTGTATTTTATTGTGAGCCTCCCTCCGTTTGCTATAGATAGCGCCCACATACATTTCCTAAGTAAATAAACAAGACAAGCATTTTTAGAAATCAAGTCCACAGCAGAGCGTTAAGATTCACTTCTTCCGTTTATGCAGTTACCTGCACTTTTCTAGTTAGCAAAGGAACAAAACTGAATATACTCTCTACATGGAAAAGAATCAGATGCAAGCATATATTGTAAAACAAAAAGGAAAAGTCTAATTATTGCAAATATATGCTCAAAGCAATATATGGAATCACAAATGATATAACTTACCAATTCCACAAATGCCAATCCACCATAACTGTGAGCAACAACAAATACATTTTCAGCTAATGACTGGGAGATAAAGTGGTCCCATACATAAATTGCATGTTCTTCAGGAGAACCATTTTCCTGAAAAGGGAAGGTGAAAAATAACAATTAATTTGTTATACATTTATTTGTTTGTTTCTTTGTCAAATGTATATGGCTGCTCATCTCATACAAACTGACTTGAGGGGAATATAATTAAACCAGCAATTAAAACATTCCATAAAATGAACTTAAATAATGTAAGTTTACAAGAAGGAAGATATTACATACAAGGCTGCCAGCGTTATGTATGTAAAATTTAAAATGTAAACATCTGTGAAAATTAAATAGAGTAGTCCTTTTTTCAATGATGGAGAACAACAAACCTGATTTAAAGAGCAGTTCATCTCTGAGTATAATATATATTAAATTCTAATCCTTGTTTTCAAGATACAAAAGCTTTTTAGGGTCTTGCAAGAGGTTAGGATTACTCTCATTTTCTCAGAATAAAACCAAACAACACAGAACAAAATAAAACAAAAATACTGGATACTGATCTTCAATAGCCTTTTATGATCCTAACTTTGGGCTATTATATTAATAGGACATAGTTGAAATTAAATTACATTTAATTAAGTTAATTAAATTACAGTTGTAGGGATCATTTGTTCTTCCCCTTCTTTAATCTACATTTCAGTCCTACTAGAAAAAAAAATAACTTCCTTCATAGAACACACTGGGGGCTCTGGATGGATTAAAGAGGGGTCTTAATGTTGCTTGACCTGTGCTGAAATATGAGGTAGCTAGACACCCACTAAAATCTAATTTAGGAGCTATTGGTTGCCCAAACTTTTACTTTATAAAGTATGTAAGTTATAAAAAATGTATATTGTAAAAAATGGTATAAAGTGATGTTGTATGATATGATTAGAGATTAACATACTATTTATATGGCTTATAGTATTGAAAATAGAAAAAGGAAAGATTATCAATATTTATATTATCAATATTAATTACCATTTTGGATATCAATACTACAAGCATAAAATACAACAAGCATAACCATTTAGCATACCAATATTACAAGCATAAAATGATTTGCCTATTCTTAGTTTAGTTTACTTTTATTGTCATTGCACCTCATACAACGAATTCAAAAACCACCTTCAGTGCACATCATGACCATGACCATGAAAATAAACACAAGCACACATTCTTCACATTCTATGCATTGGATTGAAAACCTCTGACATTGCATTAATATTGCACTATACAATAGAATTAAATAGAGTTACTGCCCTGGGATAGAAGCTGTTTTTCAGCCTATTTGTCCTTGTTTTTATTATCCTGTACTGTCTGCCAGATGGTAATAGTTCAAAAAAAGGGTGCCCAGGATGAGATGGATCTTTGAGAATGTTTTGAACTTTCTTAAGGCAGCGGGAGCTATAAAACTCTTCCAAAGAGGGGAGAGGGCAACCAATGATCTTCTGGGCAATGACATTAACCCTCTGGAGTGCTTTCCTATCTGCCACTGTGCAATTGGCAAACCATACAGAGGCGCAGTATGCTCTCTATGGTGCAGCAGCAGAAAATCACCAGCAGTTTTTCATTCAGTTGTTGTTTTCTGAGAAGTCTCAGGTAGTATAATCTCTGCTGGGCCCTTTTTACCAGGGCTGCAATCTGGGCACCCCAGGTCAGGTCCTCTTTTAGGGTAACATCCAGAAACTTAAAACTGGCCACGTGCTCCACTCGGTCTCCATTGATAAGCAAGGGCTGGATGTCTGATCTGTTCCTTTTATAATCCACTATAAGATCCTTGGTCTTATTGGTGTTGAGGACCAAGTTATTGTCTCCACACCACGAAAGCAACCGGTCCACCTCATCTTGGTAGGCAAACTCATCCCCCCTGGAGATAAGTCCCACCACTGTTGTATCATTTGCAAATTTAGCAATAGTATTACTAGCGTGACTGGGAATGCAGTCATGCACATAAAGAGTATAGGGTAAGGGACTCAACACACAACTCTGTGGTGTACCAGTGTTAAGAATAAAGGCTGAAGAGGTATGATTACCTAATCTGACCCTCTGTGAGGGGCCAGACAGGAAATCCATAATCCAAAGGCAGATTGAATTAGAAAGCACAAGGTCCAGAAGTTTAGACACTAGTCTATGCGGAAGAATTGTGTTAAATGCAGAACTAAAATCCACAAAAAGCATCCTCATAGTCCCCCCGCTGTTCTAGATGAGTCAGAGCAGTGTGAAGAATGATGGCTATAACATCCTCTGTAGATCTCTTTTTTTGGTGTTTATCAAATGTATCAAACTGGTGTTTATCAAATGTATGCGGAAGACCAGAAATGATGTGCCAGTAGACCAATTTCTCAAAGCACTTCATGATGATAGGAATGAGTGCCACTGGTCTGTAATCATTGAGGTTATTGATAGGGAACTTCTTTGGCAGCGGAACAATGGTGGAAGCCTTCAAACAAGATGGAATAGTGGCTTGGGATAAAGACTGATTGAAGATCCTGGTAAAGACTCCAGCCAACTGATCAACACAGTCTTTAAGCACTCGGCCAGAAATACCATCAGGACCGGCAGCCTTTCTAGGGTCCACAGCCTAGAAAGATCTACATTCTAGATCTACATTACAAAAAAAGACCACAATTCAAACTTTGAGAGTATTTAGTCTTCTTCAAGGATTTTGGTCTACAGAGACTCCATTTAAAAATATTCGATTTAGACAGTATGTTATGTTAATAGATAGTTCTCATCAGTTATAAGAAAAATGGAAAAACCTATCTTTTTACTATGCTAAAAATCAACATTTTCATCAGGTGATTACATTCTTATTTTTATTCTACTATACTTTCAAGCAATGTTATACAGAAGGATCTTGACGGACTTGAACATTGGGCATTATCTAACAAAATGACATTCAATGATGAAAAAAGTCATAGTTCTACATTTGGGCAAGAAAAACAAAATGCACAGGTACAGTATATTGTGGTACCTCGCTCAATAGTAGTAACTGTGAGAGGAATCTTGGAGTCCTAGTGGGCAATCATTTAAATATGACTAGCAGTGTGCTGCAGTTGCCAAAAAAGCCAACTACAAAGGATAGAATCAAGATCACGTGAAGGGAAAATATCACTTTATAATGCTTTGGTAAGGCCACACTTGGAATACTGCACCCAGTTTTGGTTGCCATGATGTAAAAAAGAGGTTGACACTCTAGAAGGAGTGCATAGAAGAGCAACAAAGATGATTAGGGGACTGGAGGCTAAAACATATAAAGAACAGTTGCTGGAATTGGGTATGTCTAGTTTGATGAAAAGAAAGACTAGCAGTTTTCCAATATCTCAGGGGCTCCACAAAGCAGGGGGAGTCAAGCTATTCTCCAAAGCACCTGAAGGCAGGACAAGAAGCAATGGGTGGAAACTAATCAAGGGGAGAAGCAACCTAGAACTAAGGAGAAATTTCCTGGCAGTTAGAACAATTAATTAGTGGTACAACTTGCCTCCAGAGCTTGTAAATGCTCCAACACTGGAAGTTTTAAAGAAGAGATTGGATAACCATTTGTCTGAAGTGGTGTATGGTTTCCTGCCTTAGGAGCCGGTTGGACTAGAACAGTGGTTCTTAACTTGGGCGATATCGCCCCCCAGGGGGCAATTTCATTTTTCAGGGGGGCGATGGAACGAAAAGAGGCAACGTGGGGGCGAAGGAACGGAAGTGAGGCGATATGGGGATAATGGAGCAAGAAGTTTTGGGGACACTTTTGAGATTTTTTTCATACAGTGAACTGCTGTATATCTGTCATACAAAAACATCAGATCGCTCGCTGAACTGTGTTTGAAAAATGTGTGTTGAACTCTGTTTTAAAATGTTCTGGAGGAGTACAGAACGCCATACATATGTGAATATGCATCGCTCATCTTCATGTGTGTTGCGCAGCAGCCTCTATCACTCTACCCATTAAATTTGTCGCTCTGATTTTTGTTGCTTTTCTTCTGTAAAAATTTTCTTTGTGTCTTTTTAACCCTTTTTATAGTGTGCATGAATATATATTTTCCTCGAATCTTAATTTAGTTTCAGAGTTTTCAACTTGAAATTCTTATTGTGGTTTGTTCTTATGCCCTTTTTATATTTTTTTTTGCGTCTTAAAATTCACTTGTAATTAAATCATTAAATGTTACTGGGTTTTTTGGGCATTTCATTTTCTTGCAAATGAATGTTGTTTTCAGTGGTCATTGCATTTAAGTGTCTTGAATAAATAAGATAATAATGAAATACATGTATCACGAAGTTTGGGAGTAAAGTGATGGGTGGCATCAGAATTTTTCACACAGTTGAGATATGGGAAAAAGACTGGAAATAAATTATTTGCATCGATATGTCCTGATGACAATTTTAAAGAAAACAAAAAACTTGTTTGCATAAATTGAAGAATTATTTCCTTGTGTTGTGATTGAGAGGTTATGCTGGGGGAGGGGGGCGATGATAACTTTCTCAATGGCTCAAGGGGGTGATTCTTTCAAAAAGGTCAAGAACCACTGGACTAAAAGACCACCAAGGTCCCTTCCAACTCTGTTATTCTATTCTTAAAGTTTTCTCTCAGAAATCCTTTCCACTTTTAAAAATTATGAAGAATACAAAAAGAGTGTTTGATTGTATATATTACATTTATTAGTATTTACCATATCAACAATTAAAATTGACACTTTTGTAGAATATTCTTTTATTGAATCATGTAAATGTAGCACTAGATTTACAACAAGAAGAAAAAACAATAATTGTTCTGATCCAAACCCTTGTCCAATAAAACAAACACAAATCAATGGGAACAACCACCTTTTAATGATTCTTATGAATCCCTGGTTAAAAGGCTGCTGCAAACTAATTAACTTTGATAAGCACGAGCCTCTCCAAAACTGCGTGGCTGCCAAAAATAACAGATAAGGTTACCTAGAAATATTTTACAACACAAGAGTCTTCAAATACCAACTAAGATACTGCAATGTCCTCAAGGCTCGAGTTTCAAAACGTCTTTGCTTTGTGCAAAGAACATCCGATTCACAGCTGGCTTTTATCTTCTTGAAGGA